TCATCCCTTGTTGGCGTTTATTCTATTCATTAGTAGAGGACTTCGGATACCCTTGCACGGTTATCCGGGTTCCTCGTTTCGTTTATCTTTAACTCTGTATCTTTTTTATTAAGTGTATTATATTTACAAATTTGTTTAACCAAAAGAAAAGAAAAGAACTAAGTATTTTGGTGGGGTATAGAGATTTATTATTACAATTTTTTATGATTTATTTATTAAAGTCAAAACCTATAACTAGTTTCTTAGCCAATAGAGTTGGTAGAATTAGATTAGTTTGTGATAAAACAAAAAAAAAGGGAAGAATAACATTATTAACTGATGTTTATCCTATGAAAGAAAATAAGAAGTCTTGGATATTGTTAGCTTCTTTAGGGTCTAAAATATTTTGCGCAATGTTAAAGTGTTTAACTATTTTTACCCCTTTGTACTGCATTTCTGGTGTTATGGTTGGGTCTGTATTTCAGTTACCTGGATTTGTTTTTAAACGTTGTTATTACACTTCACTCACTAATAATACAGGATCTACCAGTGATAAATATATTCCTGTATTTTCCCATAGCTATAAGGCCGTCTGGGATATTATACATAATAACGGTATAGATGTTAATAGTAAACAGATTGAAATTGAGGATAAAATTAGAGATTATTATAAAGAAGATTTGATTAACTTAATTAAAAGTAAAGGGTTAGATGTAAATAATGTGGGTTTAAGGATTGTTATTAAACAATTAAAAGAATTAGATGAGGATGTTAAAGAGTATTTAACCACTAAGGCTTTTACAAGGTATAAACCCCACCTTCAATTTTTAAATCATATTGAGCCAAGTTTAATTTTGTCTGTGGTTATGTCTAAATGTATTCCATTTGTTGTGAAATATGAAAATTTAGTGGATCAACCTGTTACATCCTTATTTAAAAGTATAGGTGAATGTTTATTAAATGAAGTTGCTTTTAAATTGTATATTGATGATATTAATGCGGGTAAAATTAGTAAAAAGATTGATGGTGGTGTTGGGTTAAAAGAATACATTGAATTAAATAATTTATCTTTAAGTGATGAGAAGTTTGTTGCATTGGGTTGTGACTTTGCTTATTTTTTTAGTGAAAGATCCAATTTTTTTGAAATTCTTGATGTGCATATTACTAAAGAAGAGCGTAGGCGTGTTATTTTACCAAAATCAGATTTAACATATTTATTAGATCATCTTACTATTATAGATAGTGAAGAATTACCTATGTTAATACCCCCTAGAAAATGGAAAATAAACAACAACGGGGATATAACAGAATATGGAGGTATGTTATCAAATTATACTGAAAAGAATAAGGGGTTGATAGCGATATCTCATACTAATCCTATTAGTAAATCAATGAAAATTAGTGATGATGTTATATCGGCTGTCAATAATATTTCATCTATAAAATATATTATAAATAGAGATGTTTTTGATGTTATAACTAATAAGAGTTATAAAAAGGATAACGGTGAAAACCTTGTAAACTTTAAGTTACATGATGAAACTTCTTTACTTGCTATGTATAAAAAAGATAAAAATCTCAGTAAAATATATGAAATAACTAGTTTTAATAGTAGACATTTGTATGACATTACGGTATTAAACATTGGATATTTGTTTTATAATTGTGAAGAATTCTATTTTACAAACTTTATAGACTGAAGAGGACGAATTTACACATCATCTTCAACACTAAATTTTCAAGGTGGTGAAATATCTAGAGGTATTCTTCAATTTAAGGATGGTCAATTATTAAACGAATATGGTGTATTAGCATTAAAGGTATATTTAGCAAATGCGTTTGGGCTGGGGAAAAGATCTAAAACATATCGTGTTAAATGAGTTGACACCAATATGGATGAAATTTTGATGAGCCCTGATAATAATCTATGGTTAAGGGCAGACGAACCTATTATGTTTTTAGCATGCGCTTTAGAACTGAAGGGTTATTATAAAAACCCAAACGGTTTTATTTCTAGATTACCTATACTTGTTGATGCGACTTGTAATGGTCTTCAACACCTGAGTGCCATGGCTTGTGATATTCAGTTAGCTAATAGAGTTAACATTGCACAATCCAATAATGATGATGATATTAGAGATATCTATTCAGAATTAATTCCTAATATTGATAAAAAGATTAAAGATTTAATCACAAAAGATAATAACTATATTAACCTTTCAGATTTAAAAGTGAATAGAAAGTTGATTAAAAGAGGCATAATGACTATTACGTATGGTGTTACCAAAAAAGGAATTTTGGATCAATTATTATCCGATCAGTTTTATTTGTTTAGTTTATTAAATAATAAATATATATATAGATCGAAGTATGATTATAACGGAGATGTCAACTTGACACTCAAAGATTTGTGAGCTTTAAGTGAGATTATTTATGAAACATTATTTGAGGTTCACCCTGTATTAAATAATATTATGACGTATTTTGATGATATTGTTGATCTAATGAATGCGTTGGGGTTAAAAATTCAATGATATACACCTAGTGGTTTATTACTTAACCAGGAATATTGTTTATTTACAAAGTATGATATTACAACAGCAATTAGGGGGATAAAACCAAAAAAAATTCGCTTGCAAAAACCAAAGATAAACAAAAAGACAGGTTTATTAGAAATAGCTAAGGGAAAACAAAAACAGGGGTTTATTCCTAACTATGTTCATTCGTTTGACGCCGCACATGTTGTTTTAATAGTCAATAGATTTAATGAATTATATAATTTAAAGGTTATAACTATACATGACTGTTTTGGTTGTCATGCTAATTATATTAATACACTATCAGAAGTTATTAAAGAGTGTTTTATAAAAATGTATATAGATCGGAAATCTATTGATAATTTCCATGATCACCTTATACATACCATAAATGTGGCTAAACTATATTGTAATACAGATGAGGTAGTATCCCCAAAAGGGATTGTATACCAAATCCCTAAAAAGCCAAACTTAGGGGATTTGGAAATTGGAAAAGTGTTACCTTTATCTAATTATTTTACTAATTAAACAATATATATATCACTTCTAGATCATATTAATAATAATGCAAAATCTCATTGAGTTTCATTATTAAAGGTTATGTCTAAATATATATTACTCTGTACTAAAAAACATTATTATATTGATTAATGCTATGATTAGTGTTATCAGTTGATTTGTCCTTAGTATAACCGATTAGTATTAGAACATTCAAGTATATATCCTAGTTAGTTATGTGAAATAACAGTGTTTAAACCGAACATCGATTATGCTAAACCGAACATACATCGATAAACCCACAACGATATCGGTAAAATCCTTCAATATTCACCACTTATTTACAAATTAGACATCTACATCCCATGTTAAGGTGACAACCTTGATAAGGCATATACTCCCACCTTGTGACATAACGACAGACTCCCCTTCTTCAGTTATACCTTAGGAGGGTTATTGGTATTTTCATTCGGATTTCAGCTACGACTTTACTATTATTTGTTGTTCGATGAACGGTTGTAAATAAGCATAAATTGCTATAAATACATCTTACAGATATAGAACAGTTGCCATCAACATTAATGGATAAATACCGATTCCCCCTATTTAATTTGGATCAGACTATTGCAATTAATCGATCTCCGTGAGAGATCGATTTGGTGGAGGGGTTAGCTGTTACTTTATCTCTAATTATTCTTAAATACAGAGTCTATCTGTGATAGACTCTGTGGACTGGGATTGCTTTATAGACAAAATACCCCATTCGTTAATAACGAATGGGGTATTTTGTCATCATAGTTATTATAGGTCCTCAATGAAAGGAATACTCAGGGTAACGTGAGATAATCTATATTAAGGAATTAATACTTGAATGTAATTTTATGCAGTTTCTTATCTGAGAAAAACTTCATGTTAAATCACTAATGCTCAGATATACCTAATTATTTATATTATAGTAAGATATCATGAAAAGTTAAAATTGGATATAAGCCTTCGTTTAATATACAATGTGTTTGGTTTATAACCATCACGTGTATGATTGATAAACAAATCGTTCCGAATTTATTAGTAATACACGAAGATAGATATTGTAATACCACAGTGCCACAATCCTGTTATTTGATAAATATGCTTTATAGCGGATTAGAACGCACATTTTAGAAACAATCCTTCTATTCAATAACTGATAATAATAATTGAATGATCAATTACTATTATTATTGTAAGTTTATACTTAACAATTTTGATTTAGTATATACACTGTTAACCACATGTATTCATACCTTAAATAAGTTAAATTAACTACGTAAGAGATCTGTGTTTAGAAAACTACCTAGCTATTTCTAATGTATTAAAATACTTTTAGATATAATGGAATTTATTACCATTCCATATACATAGTTTAGGATTATAATAAATTCGTCTAATACCTCGAATACCTTACTACAAATACAATTACCGTGATACATTAATTTGGATTGGAAATTAATTGTCAATCCAACTAGTACATCTATTATATTATACTATTAAATATATTTTGGCCTAATTCCAATTATTTTTGTTTCTCTGTCTTCTCGCCATATCCTTCAAATTTCTAGTATGTTTCATCTGCTCATAAAGTTCTGGATTGTTCTCTTTTAAAAGTCTTCTTCTTTCTCTATCCTTAGCATTTCTTTTTCTTTTCCGCTCAAATTCTTTAAAATCCCGTAAACCCCGTTCAATTGATGTAATTAATTTAGTATTTGCTCGAATTAATTTTTTTGTGTGTGATATACAAGCTGGTACATCTAAATGTAGTTCTCTATCTCTCAGCACCGGTGGGTTTACAGGTATTAGACCTGAATGTATCTTACTAATAAATTGTTGATAATCTATAACTTCATTTCTTTTAGTAATATAATAAATATAGGGGATTATCCCACAATCAATCTTAGTGCTAAATTGTTGATAATTTAAAGCCCTACCCCATCTATTAATAAAATAAATATAGGGGATTATTCCACAATATATTTTAGTATTAAATTGTTGATAATTTAAAGCTACACCATCTCTATTAATAAAATAAATATAGGGGATTATCCCACAATCAATCTTAGTGCTAAATTGTTGATAATTTAAACCAACACCCTTCTGATTTAAATAGATAATACTAACAATCATATTTAGTATGGGATTATTAAATACCATTAATTGTAAATTAACTAATACTAATGCATAACATGGTTGTGTAATTGATAATGTTCTCTTTGTGTATGTAATAATGTTAAAATTCTTTCGTAATACAACATCTAAAGGAATTATGTTAAAATCTTCATTAATAACAAGAGGTGAAGTACCAACCCATTTACCTTTTGAATATAACTTATTTCTTTTATCATAACCTGAGTTTATTAACATAGCATGCTCGGAAACATTTACAGTTGCACCGCTCAAATTGGGATATCACCTAGAATCTTTGATGGTGAGATCTTTTTCTGTATATAAATCTAAATAATCAAATTTATCTAAGGGTAAGGATACACCTTTACATACACTTTCTTCTCCACTTTGTTTACGCAGATAATACAATTTAGGAGAAATAAATATTCCTTTATATATATATCCCTCTGATTTCAACAATCCCATTTTTTTCCCAACTAGTGATGAATTTAATGGTTTATCTAAATAAACAGAGTCAGTATCCGTGTAAGCTGTGTTGTGTAATAAAGGGTACATGATAATTCTTGCTCATGATGTAATAGCCGCAGCTATAGGTGTTGAGTTTACAACATATTTACCATCAGGTGTTTTCAGCGACTCTATATTATAATCTACTCCACACTGTTCACAAATTGTTTTCGATAATTTTGGAGCATATTTAACAAAGTATTTATTTTCACTTATTCTGAAAAACAATGATATTTCGAACCGTTGTAAAATTCAATAGAACTTCTTTTGTGATGCTATTAAAACATTATCAAAATCATCTCTCATCCCAAACCTCCCATAGGGGCTGTTCAAACAAAGTTTGGCAATTGCTCGTAGTGCTCCTGTCGATTCATCCTTTATTGCCCCCATATGGTCAACATAATTTTTTAATATAGAAACACCTCTATCAAATATATATGATTCAATAACATCGAATTTATATCCATATCTTTCAGCTAGTTTTACTTCTTCTGAGAAATATCAACCAACTCATGTTCCACAAGGAAATATTAATTTTTCATCACCATCTTTAGTAACAACCCTTGTGGGTAGAACAGGTATTTTCATCCCGACAGGTGAGCTAACTTTAACCTTAACAAAACCAAATATCTTGCTTAAATCCTTCATTAAACTGTATGTGGGTATTCCAACAGGTAGATCCTTTAACATAGCTGTAGGGTATAAACTATTAAAATCATATGATCATAATCCATATCCCACAGGATTAAACACCTCACACCTACCACCATAATATGCTGATCTTATAGCTCGTTCTACACGACCTTTTGTTTGTGGGAATTTATCATCATCACTTAAAAAGTTTGATCGTAAAATAGACAATGCTAAAGACGCTATAGTTGGTTTAGACGTAATATTTATACGATAATTATTAAATGTCATTTTATCCATTACATCTATAATTTGATATAAAGCAACAACATCTTTTCTCAAATATTCAAGTAATTCAGATTTTAAATCTCAATTATTTTGAAACGAATTAACATAATCTTTATAATATAATAGTAAATCTAATGACTCATCCTTACCCGTAAAATATTTATATTCAGGAACATCCCCAATATAATTTAAATTATTTTTATTGACAAACTTATGAGGGAAATATCCTTTCACATCCTTCGGTAAAAAAGATTTACATAATGAATCAAGAGATGCAGGAAGTAATGCAATTGAATCACTAAATGTAACAGTTAGTTTCTTGTTATTTTTCTTAAATCTAACTCTAAAAGATAATATACCACCACTTCGGGGTATAACACTTGTTATATCATATTTAAGGGCTAAAAATCTTAAAATGAATACACTATCAAATTTATGGAAATTATGAGCATATACAGTATAACCTTTATATTTTAAAGAGATTATTTCATCTAGCATTTTTTCAACCATTTCATATCAATTTCGAAAGTCTGTAACATAAAAACTAATATAATCTGAACCGTCATATATCGCACATGCATAAGGTATATGATTCTGATTTTCATCAAGATATGTTTCAATATCAAATGTAATAAATTTATTTTTTCGCGTATATTCTTTTTTTATACTATTTAAAATTTTTGTTCCCTTAATTTTATATTCAATATTAACAACTTGATTACCTTTTATATAAAACAGAACATTATCCTCACTTAATTTATCATAATCCATCTTCTCAAATGATGCACTTTCCACACCGGTAATCCTTATAAAACCATCACCGTGTGCTATATCTATAATATTACTATCTATTTTATCATCATCCCCAAAAACAGTTATTTTATGTTCACCCATAAAACTAATAACTTCAACACGAATTAATCGACCGTTTAATCTAAAGTCAAAAATATTATCTTTCTTGGCAATTAAGATCCCATAGAAATTTTGAAAATCCATTGTTAAAGGTACATAATCAGAAGATAAATATTTACTCTTTAAGGTCTGATTATCCTTTCTAAATTTTGATAAAACTGGTTTTTCTATTAAGCCAGAACCAAAATTAGGATCCTTAAATTTCATTGTTAAACCCCAAACACGTAATATTAGATTCGTACTAGCTACTAATGGATACCCCTTTACTACATAGTCTTCTAACTTCCTATAAAAATCCCTTATTAATAAATCAGCATTTGTAGTTTTATTAACAATATAATGTCGTCCTAC